AAAAAAAAAAAAAAAAAAAAAAAAAAAAAAAAAAAAAAAAAAAAAAAAAAAAAAAAAAGAGGGGAAAAATAACTAGAAGAGATTAATGAAATTAACCGAAGGGTGAATTTGTGGTGAGAGGAGCGGTGGTAAGAGGGTGGTTGGCTCTACCCACGGCCAGGGCTGCCCTTCGGGGGGATGGCCTCTGAAGCTTTAGGGACGCATTATTATTATTATTATTATTATTATTATTATTGTTGTTGTTCTTGTGATCCCCCCCTATGCCTTCATCTGCCACCACTGACTTTGCATCATACATTTCCTCCAATTGATCTCTTTCCACCAGCGTCCCATCCATGCCTTTGAAATCATCTTCTTGCTCCACCACACACGACGACGGCGGCGCCATACCTATATCTTGCAGCCGGAGATCATCCGACCAGTCCAACGCACCTTTTCCCGAGCTGCCGCCGTAGTTCGTTGTTGGTGTTGGCGGTCTCGGCTTCTTCTTTCCCAAGCACAGTAAGCTGTCGTTGTGAGGCATGAATCCATCAAGATCAAGCTGGTCGCCTCCATAGAGGTTCAGGTCTTGAAAAGAAGGGAAGCCGAGAGGGGAGCCAAAATCTTTGATCCCTCCAGCCATGTCGCCAATGCCACCGCCGCCTCCGCCTTGCTGATTATTATTATTAGGGATGCCCCCCATGGCCTTGTAGCCGCCGGAAACTGCCATGTTCTCACCCGCAAGGGTTTGACAAGCCTTTTCTAATATATTCTGCATATACTTCCCCTGTGCCTCGATCCGCAACTGCAGGTGTCTTTGCACCTGCATGTCACGTGTTTATATTCATTAATTTTCCATTACAAAACTCTATTGTGAAAAAATATTTAGAGTGACACAATTTTTTTACCTCAAGTTGTTCATGCAATCTTCTCTGGACCTCCATTTGCATCCTAATCGCAACAATCATGTGTGAGTTACCACTACAAATATCATCACTATATTTTATTTTTTGAAATAGAAAACAAAAAGATTAAATCACCCATCAACCAAAACGCTAAAGCTGATGGTTAGTTATGCTAAATTCCCTTGTGGGCTTTAAAATTTGTAAAAATAGGAAATGATCTCATTGTTACGAGGTCTTTTGAAAAGTTCAAAAGCAAAGCGAGAGAGTTTATATCAAAGTAGACAATATGATATTATTGTAGAGATCCATGATTTCTAACATAATCCATAAAAGAATAGATGATGAACAATGATATCTTATGTGTATATACGTACTCATTCATGGTGCGGTTGATGATGTTGGATGAAGAAGCAGTGTTTCGATGAAATTCTAATCCGGAAGCTGAGTTGAAGAAGGAAATAGTCAATTTGAATGAACACATGTGCACATCATGTGAGGTGTGAAAGAAAAGAAATAGAGAGAGAGAGAAAAAAAAGTCACCTCTCATACCATCCTTGATTGAATGATCATTGAATTCCTTGTGAGGCTGCTTTCCCAGTCTAAATTTCTAAGTAGGTTAAAAATGAAAAGCAATATGGTTATAAACGAGGGAAAAAGTGGCATAGATATGGATGTGGATATAGATATGGGTTATATATACCTGGAGATGGCTCTTTAGGTGGTAAAGAGTGAGACCCTTGACACCCATAACTCGCATGATGGTCTTGGGGGTGGCCTCTGAAAATAGAGGAAACCAAAGGTTGTTATAGAGAAGAAGAGAAGAAGAGTAAATGGTTAAATTGGTAATACATACTATCAGGGCCGCCGAGCTGGGTGACAGCATCGACAAAGCGCTCGTGAAGCTCGACAGTCCAGCGGAGGCGGGGCTTGGGGTCGGTGGTGAGGACGAGGCCGGAGTCGCCTTGAACGCACATCCCTGATCTCTCGTGGGAATTCATAGTCGAAGCTTTCTTATTAGGATGGAACATTCTTTGTCTGTCTGTCTGTCTGTCTCACCCAGCTGCTGCTGCTGCTCCTCCTCCTTCCCAATGGAATAAGAACAAATCCCACCCCAAATTAATAGCTACCCAATTCAACTCACTTTGGGGCCACCTTTTGTTCCTCAACTCAAAAGCACCGGCTTAGGGAACAACCTAACCCTCCCTCTAAAGAAATCTTCTAATCTCTACAGATAAATAATATTATGTAAAGAATGTTTATTCTATTATCCTCCTCCTCCTCTACTCTCCTTTCTATAAAGATACCTTCTTACACCTTTAAATATTAATTTTCATTTTTTTCTTTCAAAATCTTCATTATGTTTTCCCCATTCAAAGTCCTATAAACTATTCTAGGCGGGCCCAACTAACTAATAAACACAAATTAATCGAATTCTAAACTATTATATTAACACCCTCTACACCGCCAACTAATTAGGAAGTAATAATAATAAATTGATATTAACATTTCCTAGTACGTCAACTTTTAGCTTAATTATTAGCCTCCCACCAAATAAGATCATCCCACCCCCTCCTCATTTGCATGGAAATACCAACACAAAAAGTGTCTCATCATACCATTATATATTTTATACCAAAAATTACGAATTCATTACACATAAAATTGTAAGTAATAAAAAAAGGGAGAATGTTTGTGAGGCTTTTTATGACACAAGTGGAGGGACCTTCTCATCTTCTAAAGCTCATAGTTTTAGACTCAAAATTTAGGCTCATCTCTTTTGTCCAATTCAAGCTTGTCTTCTATTGTTCCACTTCGCTTCTATCTCAACACAACACACAAACAAACAAAGAAATGGATTTATAAAGTTGATGCCTCTCCATGCACGCCCCCTTCCACTTCTCTTTAAATTGAATTGCTCAAATATATACACATTTTTTGTGTACCCTAATTTCAATGCTGTTCTTGGCATTTCTTGCTCCCTTTAAAGGAAAAAAAAAAAAAAAGAGGAAGCATTTGGATGCCGTTTTTCTCTGGAATATCATCTAATGAAGCTAAAAAAAGAAAGCAAATTAAATCCAAATGGGAATAAATGCTTTTCTTCTTTGACAATCAATGAAAGATTCTTTTGACCATAATATTGTTAGGAATCACGGATCTCCACGATGATACGATATTGTCCATTTTAAGCATAACCTCTCATGATTTTGCTTTGGGCTTCCTCAAAATGTCTCATACCAATAGAAATAAGGTTAACTCAGGATCATTTTCTAAATTAGCAAATGTTGACTCACTCCCAACCATCTTCAATACCATTTGCAAAATATTATTATTTAAATAGTGCAATTCGTAGGTTCTTTATTTAATTATAAGAAGAAAAATAATGTGTAAATTGATTTTGAAGTTGGAACATTTATTTAGTTATTGAAAGTTGAGGGAGGAAAAATGAATGGAGCTGGGGAAGAATTGAAATGAAAAGAGAGGCAGCGTGAAGGATATGTTTGCTTGAAATTCAAGCATCGATCTTTATACAATTATTCTATTCTTTTGGATGAATATATTCCTTTAAAGGTGGAATTGAGGGACCCATCTTTATGCACAGTGTTTGAATACCTTTTTCTATCTAATCTAATCTATAATCTAATAATCTAATCTAATATAATCTAAGTTTTCTTCTTCTTCCACAAAATAAAATAAATGAATAAAATTCTACTTCTCTTCTACCGGATGTGCACCATTCACCATAAAGCGTGTGCCAACTGCTGCTGCTGCAATCATCACCATACATGCCATACTCCATCCCACTCTATTGATATAAAAATATTTGATAGGTTCTATAAATAAATATGTGAGAGATCCCAACGTGGGGCGGGAGAACTAAGTATTCTTTGTAAAGGTAAAGGTACGTAAAGTATTCTAAAGTTTAAAGAGAATAATATTTGCTAGCGGTGGCTTGGACCGTTACACACTAAACTTTCTTATTTGTTTTTGTTTTTGGTAGCATGTGAAATGATTCCTATCAAAGAAAATGATTATTTGTATATACCCTTTTAGTCATTTTGAGGTAGATGGTACTTACACACATTGCAACCCACAAAAAAGGAAAAAGAAAAGAAGTAATTTGATGAGAAGTTGTGAGGGACGATCGTATTCTCCTTGATTCGTTGGTTGCTGCGAAGTCCTTCCACAGGGCTGGCATTCTCGCTCCTTCAATACCATCAATGGAAATGACAAAGAAGTGCTTGTGTTTTATAATCCATCATCTCCCTCAAAAGCCAACAAACAGTTGCCCCTTCCAACATCTCACGTGAATGATATTGTTTACTTTAGATCATAAGCTTTCGTGTCTTTACTTTTAGTCCTTCACTCAAGTAAAATACTAGACTTGAGCCTCTTCACAAATATTGAGAGCTTACTCTTCATCTCAAGGATCCCAAAGTTTCGCACGAATAGAAGTATCTTATTCGTAACTAGTTTCTCCAATAGAACAAGATCTTATCTGTGGGTCGATAGTTTATTAGTCATGCAGTTGTTAGAGGGAAGTCAAGAAAGTGTTTGTGCATATGATATTGTTCGGATAATATCATCTCATCCTGAAGGCATCTTCGCAAGCATCTCGTCCTGACAAAGGCTACGCTCTTAGCATGTCCTCTTGCTCCTCAGCAGTGGGATGACACCAAACTTAGATTCTTATGAATTGGAGGTTAACGTCTTAATGGTTGAATGAACCACAACTTCATAATTCTATATTACATTTAATTTTGGTCATTCATCCTCATCTTGAAACCTATAATTTTTTTCGATTTTTTTGTATTTATCTACATTGAGCATGTCACACATCTTTATAATTCATAAGCTAGTTTAACTTATTACTCTATCTTCATGTTGTGATAAGCTTCACCTGACACATTCTATGAATGTTTTAAAAGTGAGTCAACGGAGTGGCTGGAATTTTCTGTTCATCATCATCATCTATCATTCATTCCATATGTTCATTTTGACCTGCTTTCCTTATCAGAGCAGTAATAGGATACAGCCACGCTGGATTCATTCATTCATTTCATTTCTGTGGTGTCACAATCTGTTACGCTTCATTTAATTTCTTTCCCGTCGCGGTTCGCTATAGCAATATGGGCGCTGTGGGTTGCCACTGCCCAACACTTGTGAATCCAGACCTAAACTGCCAAAACAATCTTTCAGAGGTACCTCCTCCCTCGGGCCTGCAACCTACCAAAGCTAGAACAATTCCCTCAAACCATTCTTTCCAAATGAAAGCGGTAGTTTTTGTCTCTTGGCTGTTTTTGTGTACTGCCTATTCTGTTCTTTATATGCACTGAATGTGAAAATGCCTCACCAGAGTTTGATGCTGCTTCCGCAATTTCTTTGCATGTCCTAAACATACCAGTCATGTATCTTTCCCGACCTACCGGCGTTGCCCGTTTTGCTGCCTCCTCCTCCTCCTCCTCCTCAGGTTCGATTTACCAATTGATTTCCTTTTCTGTAATTACCACACCTTTTCTCGAGTTGCGTTTCTCGTTTTACTCGTAATGCGCCTTTCCTGTTCATGTTTGCATTTTCCATCCTTCGATGTTCTTGATATTTCGGAAACAATTCGACGGTATGGAGTTTCATACATATAAACACGACTTCTCTCCTCTGTTTTTGTGAGGATAGTGGCCGCGCGCTGAATTTGTCATTAGGAGTAACAGAAGTTCATAAACGTAGCTGAATATTTAGTTTTCTGGTGATTGATTTCCGTTTTCTTATGGGATCATCCCTAAATTTTAATCTGCCTTTTAACCAATCTCTGCATCAGATTTCTGAATCCTTATTTATTTTCTTTCTATGTTGCTGAAGATGAATTGAAATGCATTTAGTTTTATGTCAATGACAAATTCTTAGGATTCTATCTATGTGGAAGACTTAATTATTTACATTTCCTGCACTCCCTTCTGATATGTGAAAATTATTGTTCTCAACCAGCTTCCCTATTCCCTGGAGTGGATGTGGACACAACAACTAAAACTGGAGCTTTGGTATGATGCCATTTGTTATCTAATTTTGTTATGTTTCGAACCATAGACATACATCTTACTTTTTACTCTTACAGCACTTTGAAGAAACAAAAGAAAGAATTAAGAAATTGTTCGACAAGGTTGAACTTTCAGTTTCTGCATATGATACTGCATGGGTGGCAATGGTTCCTTCTCCAAACTCTCTCAACCAACCTCTTTTCCCCGAGTGTATAAACTGGGTATTAGATAGTCAACATGCTGATGGCTCATGGGGCCTACTCCACAACGATCAGTTGCTGATGAAGGCCAATCTCTTATCTACATTAGCATGTGTTCTTACTCTTAAGCGGTGGAATATTGGGCATGATCATATGAGCAAGGGTATGGTTATTACTCTTCTTGCTGTAGGTGTACTCTATGATGTATTCAGTAATGAAGTTCAAGGCGTTTTCCTTTGTTATGCAGCCCTTGATTTTATCAAGTCTAATATAGCTTCAGCTACTGATGAGAACCAACGTTCTCCGGTGGGATTTGACATTATTTTCCCTGGCATGATTGAGTATGCTAAAGACTTGAATTTGAATCTACCCTTGGCACCGACGAACGTGGATGCCTTGGTTCGAAAGAAAGAGTTGGAGCTGAGAAGGTAATACCCTTCTTCTTTTTCTTTTCTTTTCTTTCTTCTTCATTGGCTCTAGAAGTATGTGTAAGGCAGTTGCTTGTTAAATTGAACCAAGCTAGTTAATAAGCTGTGGCTAGGGTCAGCTGCCTAATGCTTTGCTTTGTTCTTTTAATTCAGTATTTAATTTTTGGTTTAAATCCCATTTGCGTTAGCTGCCTAGAGATTTTTGGATTTCAAATTAGTTGCTTTTTAATGCTCATTTTGAATGTTTAGAGACCAAAGGGAAATAAACCTGAAAGTTTATAGTCCAAAATGAGATTTAAACCTTTCAATGTTTTGCATTCTTGGAAATATGAGATTCTTTTCCATATAATTTCTTAAAATCTGAGAAGGCTGATCGATGCATCCAAATTTTCTCGGACTTCTCATGCTCTACTTAAGTTCTTAGTATAATTTAGCGGGCTTTAAACACAAGCAACAATATTATATCGAATGATTGTAGCGGGATTTAAACACAAGCAACAATATTAATTTAGCGGGATTTAAACCATTCAATGTATAAATTGGTACTATGTTGAAAAGGAAAAAAATTCCCTCACTTCTCCTTTTGTATTTGGCTCTTTGCCCCGTCTGTCCTGAAGCTGCAGAAGCAACTCTGAAGGTGGAAAAGCCTATTTAGCGTATGTTTCAGAAGGAATTGGAAAGTTACAGGACTGGGATATGGTCATGCAATATCAAAGGAAGAATGGATCACTGTTTAATTCTCCATCCACTACGGCAGCGGCTTTTATGCATAGAAATGATGATGGCTGTTTTGATTATCTTCGCTCACTCTTACAAAAGTTTGATGGCTCAGGTTCCTCTGACATCACCTTCTTCTCTTTGCCTCTTCTTAATGTGTCATTCATTTCTCTGTAATTTTCATCATATATATACTGGTGTTTTTCAGTTCCCACAATATATCCTCTTGATATATATGCTCGATTACACATGGTTGATAGCCTTCAAAAATTCGGAATTGCTCGGCATTTCAAAGAGGAGATTAGAAGCGTATTAGATGAAACTTACAGGTAGTATGATATTTTTAACAATCTCTCCAAAATGGATTACATGAAGTGTATTATATACTTTGTTGTTGTTTAATTCTAGTCCATTTTGTCTGTGGTTGAGTTCTTTTCTAAATATCAATGGTTCATGGAATTTATTTGCAAGAACAGGTGTTGGATGCAAGGAGAGGAAAATATATTCTTAGATGCTTCAACTTGTGCAATGGCCTTTCGAATGTTACGTGTTGAAGGATATGATGTTTCTTCAGGTGCCTTGTGATTATTGAATTTTTGTGCTGAAATGTTGGATCTTAGGAAAAGTCTAATTTGTGTAATTTGTCTTTAGACCAGTTGACTCAATTTTCAGAAGATATCTTTCCCAATTGCCTTGGAGGATATTTAAAAGACTTCGGTGCCTCGCTGGAGTTATATAAGGCCTCTCAGATTATCACGCACCCCGATGAATCTGTTCTGGAAAATATAAACTCTTGGACTAGTCGTTTCCTGAAGCATGGATTATCTAGTGATTCAGTTTGGTCTGATAGAACCGATAGTGTTGTTAAACAAGAGGTATTTTTAGCAATAAACTGTCAAATAGTTCCTTATTTTTTTGCCTTTTCCTTTACTCTTCATTAACAAAAACCTTTGTTTCCGTGGTCATCATCAGGCTGTTAATGCTCTTGAGTTCCCCTATAATGCAACTCTAGAACGCCTAATAAGTAAGAGGGCAATGGAAAGTTACAGTGGAGACATTGTGAGGATTTCAAAATCGCCATATGCGTATGTTGCAAATTCTTTTACTTTCTATTTGCTCTTCTTTTTGTTATTTTTCTTTGTGTTTGTTGGATGGGGGTCCTTGGGGGAAGTTGGACAGCTCTAATACTGGATTTAATTGTGCCAGCTGCTTAAATTTTGGCCATCAAGATTTTCTGGAACTTGCTGTAGAGGATTTCAATACCCTGCAACGCATTCATCTTAAAGAACTGGAAGAGCTTCAAAGGTAAACTGTTGCTTGCAGTATTGTAGGTTTTTACAAGTATCGAGCTTTGACCGATGGCCATCACTTGGCCCATGTACTGTGTTACAAACACAATAGTCTATGAGGGGATGACTTGGCCATTGACGAATGCATTGTGACTTATTAGAAGTGGACGCCAGTCCTTACATTTGTAGTGCCCAAGAGAATCTCTTGTTTCTAAGTTCATTTCCATTGTGTATGAACAGATGGGTGGTTGAAAACAAATTGGACGAGTTGAAATTTTTCAGACTGCACCTAGGGTACTGCTATTTTGCTGCGGCAGCGACCCTTACTGATCCTGAACTTCATGATGCTCGCATAGCATGGGCACAAAATGGTGTGCTCACGACCGTGGTTGATGATTTCTATGATGGTGGAGGATCTGAAGAGGAATTGGATAACCTTATAGAATTGGTGGAAAAGTAGTTTCCTTTTACTAACTAACTCTTGTTTACTAACTCTCCCTTTTTGCATCATTTATATCTGAACTCTTAATAATCAATAGGTGGGATCCTGATGGGGAAGTGGGTTACTGTTCCAAGGACGTTGAGATTGTATTTCTTGCACTTCACAGCACAGTTTGTGAAATAGGAAGAAGAGCTTTAGTATGGCAAGGACGCAGTGTTATGAGGAATGTTATCGATGGTGTAAGATATTTAATTACTAATAATGTTTTGGTATGCGCAATTGTACTGCTGAAAATAAGGAAAAGCTGAATATATAAACTATTATACTTGATTTTACAGTGGTTGGCTCTGCTGAAGGTGATGAGAAAGGAAGCTGAATGGTCGACAAATAAGGTAGTGCCATCAATGGGTGAATATATGGAACAAGCCCATGTATCATTCGCGTTGGGACCTATAATCCTTCCAATGCTCTTCTTTGTTGGACCTAAACTCTCAGAGGAAATGATTGGAAGCTGTGAATACCAGAAGTTATATAAGCTGATGAGCACTGCTGGTCGCCTTAAGAATGATATTCGATCTTACGATGTAAGTACTAAAACAAGTTGCTGCATGATGTGTGTGGTGGTGTATTTATACAAAGAGTAGAGTAGAGTAGAGTAGAGTTGTTTGCTTTTGTTTATAAATAACTTCCGGCAATGTAATGTCGCAGAGAGAATGCAAAGAGGGAAAGCTGAATATTCTGTCTCTGTGGATGATTGATGGCGGTGGTAATGTCACCAAAGAGGAGGCCATTGAAGCAATTAAAGGGGATTTTGAGAGGGCGATAAGAGAGCTGCTGGGGTTAGTTTTGCAGGAGAACACTACAATTCCAAGAGCTTGTAAGGATTTGTTCTGGAAATTGATGTCCATTGTGAATCTATTTTACATGGAAGATGATGGGTACACTTCAAATAGGTTGATGAACACTGTAAAAGCCATGTTTGAACAACCCATGGATCTGGATGCACTATTGAACAAATGAACGAACAACAAACGAAATAAGTTGTAGTGGGAAGCAGACGCCACCTATTCACTGTCTTCTCTACTGATCAGATGTCTATTGCTTTCTCATTGAGGAAATGGCAAATAAAACATTTTATGGAAACATTTCATTGTTAAATTGAGAGTCTGAATCCAATCTGCATGCTTCTTAGTAAGCATAGATATAACCCACATCTTTCTTGCCTATGTGAGAGGCTTACTTAGATTATCAGTTAGTTGCTTGTACTTTAAAAACTCACCTTCTAAAGTGTCATTTTATGGAACATAAACAATATAATAAGACCGAGGGCCAGGAAGCACAAAGGCTTCAAGCAAAGCCAGTAAAAGATGGGCCCCTTTATTGTAGATAAGTTCTTGCATGTGTCACAAAATAAATCTGAAAACCCCAACACCTCACATCACAGATAAAAGCTTATGAATTAATACATCGGGCAATGCACGACCAGCTTGAAAGAGGCGCAGCGGTTACAGAATGGAGGGCAGAATGTGTTGATTTTTCAAAACGATCTCTTTTCATACGACACCAGTCCATGAATGCCACCTTCGACCTGTGCTGCCCCTGAGCGTACCTGCAATACCAACAAAATGAACACGATTTTAAACAGAGTCATGTTCATAACCAACAGAGCATTGGACGGGGATGAGCAGAACGCCTTACCTCTAGCCTTAAAATCTTTGAACTTAAGAGGTCATGGGCAGATTTGATGGAGGAAGCACCAAGATCTTGGAACCCTTGCTTGACTGCTTGCATAGTGTAGGGTATGAACTTCAAGACTGAACCCTTATCAGCAACTGCTCCAACAACCCCTTGAGCTATCTTAAGGGTTGCAGTATCCCCCAAGTACCTGGCATCACTACCTTTGGTCATTGCTTCTAAAGAGCCCATCCCACGATACTTCTTCACACGCTGACCATTCTGGGAAGTGACACGATATAACTTTTCATCAGTCATTTCTGATTTCACCACTGAATGTCAGTTCTTATAACTTACAGGCGAAAACCTTGTCTTCTGGCAGTTGTAACTCGTAAGAAAATATGCATACATGAATCAATAATAAGTACTATCATGAATCGTTCTACCACTTGAATATAATACCTCTATGAGGTAACTATCTAGTATTGAAGGGCTATACGACAGACAATCTAAATTTCAAACCACCAATCATTTAAACATAAGCTCCACTTTTATTCATGAAGTTGTAGCTTGTTAGTAGTTAGGTAACTAGCCGTAGCCATTTAGTGAGGAAAATGAGAACTAGCAGAAGAAATACCTTAGTTTCGAATGCCCCAGGGGCCTCGGTGCTTCCAGCCAAGAAACTTCCCATCATTACCGTGGATGCACCAAGAACTATAGCCTTAACAATATGCCCAGAGTTTGAAATTCCACCATCAGCGATGACAGGCACGCCACTTTGCGAAGCAACTAATGAGACCTTGTAAACCGCAGTCGCCTGAGAAGAACAGACAGAGGAAAGAGTGCCCTCAGTGTTTAAAACTTTGCTCAAGCCTGAGAGCCATTTCGCTTTGCCTCAAGCTTCGAAAAAACACAGATAAGATACTAGGTAAAGGAAAAGGAAAAGGGGAAAGGCTTTCATAAAAAACACAGATACCTGTCCTCGTCCAACCGCACAAACCTCCTGCGTGGTACAGATAGATCCAGAACCCATCCCAATCCGCAAGCCGTCGACACCCGCCTGAATCAAATTCTGGGCCTGTGCCATCGTAACCACATTCCCGCCAATCACGTCCAACTCTGGATATGTCCGCTTCACATACTTTATCATATCAATTTGATAACTGGAGTTTCCCTGTGAACTATCTAACACCACTACGTTTACACCGGCCTGCACCAAAAGCTTCAACCTCTCCTTGTCATGCTCCCTCGTTCCAATCGAAGCCCCTACCAGCCAGGAACCATCGGCCGCAACCGAGCCAACGCCCAGTTTAGGATAACTCTTGATTCTCTCCACTTCTGGCTTGGTTACAACATCCACAATTTCATCGTCCTTCAACAGCGGCACAAAGTCCTTCTTCTTCTCCGCTAAGAACGTGTCCACTTGCGCTAAATCATAGTTCCACGGAACTGAAGCCCCCGAATTAACCATATAATCATATATTTTCACATCCTTGTTCGCCTGGGAGGTCCAGTCCGCGTAGGAGACATGGCCCAAGAGCTTCGACTTGGAGGTACCTGACTCAGTAACCAAAACAAAGGGCGAAGAAGCAAAATCCTCCTCCGAGTCAATCCGATCGGATGGGGACTTGAAAACGGGATTAGACAAAATTGGAACACGGCGGGCCTTGGCGGCATGAACCATGGCAGCCTGTTGGGCGGCAGGGGAATTGGAGTGGATGATACCGATGCCACCAAGAGCAGCCATGGCGGAAGCCATGTAGGCTTCGGTGACGGTGTCCATGGGGGAAGAGACGCAGGGAATAGAGAGGGAGATATTGCGGGTGAGTCGGGTAGCGAGCTGGACGGCGTCAGTGGGGAAGTCAATGTAGTGAGGAAGGAAGATGACGTCGTCGTAGGTATAGGAAAATCCCTGATTGAAGAGCTTTTCAGCTGCAAAGCCGTCCTCCATGGCGATTGCACCAAGCTGCAGGCGGCAGATAGAGGAGGAGAAAAGGATGGTAGGCGAATAGGGTTTTGGTTCTTAACCGGTGGGAGGAGTTCAGCCTAAAGCCAGGAGGGAGACGGAAACAATTGGAGGGAGACGGAAACAATTGGAGGGAAGCGCCCAAAATAAATCAGATTTTATTGTATAATTAACGCTTTACGAGGCACCTCCACGGCCGCTAATTAAATAATAATTTTTCTTAGGGACATTTTCGTCCTTGCAGTGCTCACGCCAAACTTATATTCCTCCTATTTATTAAAATTCTGTCCGCATCTTTTAAAAAATTAATTTACACTTTCAACTTTTTTTTAATTATAAATTTGAAACTAAAAATTATCAGAGTGATTAATTAAAACTCTAAAATCTAAAATTCTAGGGAAAGAATTAAATTTATTTTATTTTTTTATATATATAATTGTTAACAAATAATTTTCCGTAAGGAATAAAAAAAATTAAGTGATAATTTCCTGAGCTATGATTTATTTTTAGATAATAAATGAAACCATTTAATCATTGAGTTTGTTGCTCCTTTGAGTGTTTTTTCAAACGTATTTTTGTCCCTAATAAAAAAGTTGGAAGGGGAAGGGAGAAGATCGTGTTGGTTCATATGGGTTACATATGGCATGATCCATGTCACATGTTAAGGGGCATGCCAAACATTTGTTTGATTGACTATTATGGGTAAGATCGACATTTTTAGTCAATATTGAAGAATTATTCTCCATTAATTTAGCATCATAGTTAGTGGTCTAAATAAGTCAAAACTTACGCCCCATTAATATTCAATAACTGTGATGTCCCATGTTAGTTGGGGAGGAGAACAGAACATCTGATGTCGAAATCTTCCCCTAGTTTTTAAAGACTTGACGGGAAGCTTAAAAGAGAAGGCATAGAGAGGACAATATTGCTAGATCCGTTACAATAATTCAGTTGCAAAATGCTTAATAAATATAACATATATCATTAATTAATTTTTTTATTGAAATAAAAAAGAAAAATGAAAAGTAAGTAGTCCATCAATTCTCATCTTTAAAAAAAATTAAAAAAACAGGTTTCAAAATGAAGATAATATAAAAAAAAAAAAAAAAAAAAAAAAAAAAAAAAAAAAAAAAAAAAAAAAAAAAAAA